ATTATACGAAGTTATACGACGCGAAAAATTAGAGAGAAAAAGAAAAAAAACTTTTAGAAACTGTGCCATGGACGAAAAAAAAAAAAATGTCAAGTATCACGTTGCTTTGCAATATAATAAGCTTGTTCCTTCATGCGAGTCGTGCTTATCTCGCGTAGCAAGAAATACACAGAATACACAGAATTTTTAAATGCTAGCTACAACCCTTCTCTCACCCTTCATATGCCTTTTTCATATAAAAATTCGTCTAAGATAATTGTACGGTAGAAATTTTAAAATCCACATTAGAATAAATCACATTATTAAAATCACATTAGAATGTTAAATAAAGAATTTAATAGCATATGACAACGACGAAGAAACGAGGAAGAACTTTATAAATTATAATAAAGAAATGTTTGACATACATAAAGATACTTTTGTTAAATAAAATTGTTAATTATATTGCAAAAAGTCACTAGAATTTGTTTGTAATATAAATATAACCTTCGCCGGTTTTAAAATTAGCAATTTAAAGTTTCGCTGACGAAGAAAGTCTCGGTTGACACTCACCCCTCGATTCCTGAGAATAACCAAAGTTCCAAAGGTGTTCGGTGTTCACGTCGGTGCGTCTCGTCCGTCTCGGGATCGTTCTGCGAATGTCTATTCCGCCTCGATCCAACTATTCGTCTTTCGATCGTCCTCCTCCTTATTTTCGGCCGCCAACCGACCTCTTAATTTTTCCTCCGCGATGGCGCGTAGTTTGTTGGTAGAAGCAAAGTGGCCCCGTCGCGATCAATCGGCCACGGCCAAGTTTCCAGGCGTAGTCATCGGCGAAGACAACGGCGGCAACACGGTTTCCCGGTGACGCCTCAAGGACGGGGATTAGAATAGTACAGATAAACACTTTCGTATTTAGGCACTCGTGGATGACGAAACTCGGCGCTCTCAATTCGCCATTCGGAGGTGTTACCTAATATGCCAGATAATCGTTGATTAATCGCACTCGTCGGATCAACTCGATTTGCCAGTGGCTGAATTATTTTTTATGCATTTCCTTGTTGAGTGATGATTGATAAACATCGGATAGCTGATAAATTGATTTTTACTCACTAGGTACTGGAGACGCGTCGGTCGACTAATTCTAATAGGTATTGTATTGGGTTTGCCACTTAATTGGCTGTGGTTAAATGCGATAGGTGTTGGCAACACGAATGTGCATGAATTTTGATTAAATATATTGGATATATTGATTGCATAATTTTGAAATCGATATTAGATTGAGAAAATGTTAACTCAAATGTCATTAGGTATTTGTATGTGAGATTTTTCAATTCTATCTTGATATTTGTTTTTTTTTTATTAACAATTGTACTTTTTATTAGTCTTTTATTAATCTGGATTCTTTACTTTAATTTAATTAATTATAATTAATTAATTAATCATTTGAAAGCTTGATGTAAAGAAGTACGTTTCAAACAGCTTTCATTTTTCAAAGAATATATATGATAATAATGTTTATTAAAAAAAAAAAGATTTACTTCTTCAAATTTACTTCTTTTGTTAACAGCAATTTACACAATATAATGTTCATTTTGTTTGACTTTCAAGCATTTTAATAATGTACAAAAAGGCAACAGCTTTGTAAAACTATGTTATGCCATTCGTATAATATCTTGATCAACTTTTTGAAGAATCTTCAGAAATATCTAAAAGATTCTTAAATCTTTTATCAAGCATTCTCACATCACACAAGTATTTATCAAAAGAATAACATCACTTTTTTGAATACTACGATTGGTACACTTAAGAAAAGTTCTAATTCTTTTCTTAAGAATACAATAATTCACTTACGTACATTCCACTTATATAAATAAACATATTTAAAAGTTTGTTCAAATGAAACACCTTTGTTTGAAACACGCCTTCAAATATCCAATATTGTAGATGACTTGAAAATGATAAAAGTATCATCACAACTAAAATGTACACTATTTGGTTACTGGTACACTTGACTTGATATCGCTTGAAATTCTAGATTTTACAATCTATCTAAAAAAAGTGTTCCCCCCTCGACCACTGTACTAAACGGCGCGTTTGCTGGTCCCCGTTTTTTAATATTCCACCGGGCACGTAGTTCGTAAATCCCGGCAGACACCCGCTCGTGTCGGTGATTCGTTGACGTATGCCGCACCAAGTCGCTTGGTGTCGGCCAGCCTGATGACGCCTGCTGCTGCTGCTGCTGCTGCTGTTGCTGTTACTCCGTAGGCATTGATAGACAGTCTAAGCCGTGAATTCCGCGCCAGCCAGTCAGCGAGCAAGCGAACGAACGAACGACCGGCCCGGAAGCGGTCGGTGGTAGTTTCGGGGAGGGGGGGGAAGCTACCCTATTACAGGAACCTCTCAGGGGTCCGCGCGGTACCCTCGTGCGGTGTAGATTCGTACCCTCGTGCCACGGGCGCTGGTTTTCGCGCTCTGCCCCCTCGTTCGATCCGCTCGTCTCTCTGACGACGCCATGCCGGTTTTCTTTCTTCTTCAACGACGACGTCGATCCCGGCCAGCTGAAGCGGGCAGCTGAGAATTTTGGGCTCTTCGCGAGGATTAAGGCATAAAATCAATGAGATAGATCAACGTGATGGAAAAACAATGCGAGTAACAAGTCCGTAGATAATGAATGACGCGATTGTGGTAATTTAATTGTGGTAATTTAATTACCGTCCAAGTTTGCAATCAATTGCAATCTTACTTAGTTAAAAAAAAAATGTTATTAGTTTGCGTGTATATTTAAAATTTAAAGAAAAATTCATACCGTCCATTTTTAATAGTCTGATTAGTGTTGTAAAGATAGTTTTTTTTTTTTTAAATAATAAATGAATCTTTCAAAAATTAAATTAACGTACTTAAATTGCAATTGTAAAATAACAAAAACATAAAGTAATTTAATTCACAATTCAGAGTTTTCAAGTAGCTGAAGCTTAGGTGGAAAACTTATTATCCTCTATAAATTTATTATGCTGTCGATGAAAATTTTACGGAGAATCTATTTCAAATCCCCTATCTGCGATCATCAAAAGAAATTAATAAATTTTTCGGGGAATTAGATTTATTCTCCTATTCGCTGTGTTCGTTAGTGTCCTCCTCCATCTTGCGAGTCGAATTCTATTGTTCGGATTCAGAGAGATCTAGCTAGCATCGATCTATTGTGACTGGCACGCGTATGCTCGTGAAACGTGCATCTGCGTGACAGGCTCTATCTCGTTTCGAATGTACACCGGTTGTCATCGATCCTTATTCGAGTCCCTGAATCGAGAAAGGCGCTCCCGAGTGCCTTGAGATCGTTCTTAGTGAGAAGGATCGAAAATCGTGACACGCAAGAAAGCATCTGGCTGACCCGTTAACACGAGTGCCATCATCGTTCACAGTTCGTCACATTTCTTTAGGGATTTTAGAAAGAAAAAGAAAGCCGATTCTATTTTATTGATGATCCATCATGATCTAAAATACATAACGTGTAATTTTAAAATTCAAACAAATTAAAATAATATTCTGCATTTGTCTGAAGTGAGTCTATAAATCATCTCAAATGGTGGTCTTTGCACTAGAGGCAAATAATAAATTTTTATAACGGGATTATATAATTGGATTTTTATAACAATTTCGATAAATGCGAAACCACGAACGTACGAATCGATCGGCCCTCGATATCGAGAAACCCTTGCAACCCGTGTTGTTGAAAAAATTAGATCGACATGTGCGGCCAGTCACGGCTCGTTAAATTCACAAACTCAATGGAAGCTTAGTCAAATTGCATTTCTAATTTCCTCGTTTCATTTCTCTCTCTGCACGCTCGACGAAACGCGCTCGACACTTTTATCCGTTTCACCCCAAGAGGATTTTATCGATCAAACGCGATCGTATTTTCTCCTTTCCAGAAATCAATAATAAAAGATTCTCTTCATGAAAGCTAAAAGTTCTAAATATTCTATAAAGTTCTGTAAAAGGTGCATTTAAATAAGATATTGAAATTAATTTAATCTAATTTATAATTATAATATTTGCAATTTTAATTCAGTTTATGATTATTCTATTATAACTTGACAATTTTATTTATAATATAAAAAGTTTCAATTTGCAATTAAAGAAGAATTTTGCTCTGAAATGTGTGTCTGCAGATGTGGTTTGTGACAATTTGCAACCCTCACGCGATTTTTAACAGAATTAGGTCCACCCGTTTTGTAAGGGGACTACCCGATCTTCCGATCGATCAGCTGAGAGTTACGTATCCTGTTCATATAAACTGTGAAGAAAGATTTATTTGTGTGAACTGCTATTCTCGGTGTCTTCGCGAGCCAACTCGTGCGCACTCCGCTTTTATTATTTCCAATAAGAACCGATCTCTATTTTTGACAAATATTTATTTTACTTCACTCCCTGAAGCTCAGAAATTCGTTCAAAAATCTATATGTATCCATTTTCTTTATATCTTGTTAAATATATTTATTTATAGAGTTTTAATATAGTTTTAATATTTATTTATAGAGTTTTTCACATTTCTACATGCGGATTTAAAGTGATCAATTGTATCTTCATCTCGATATAAAATGTCAAAATAATTATTAGCAATTAAAATAAAAAATAATTGTTCTCAATGAAAATAGATGACTGGCTTCTATCATATTACTATTTATTTCCCACTTTTATCACATTTTTTTTTTATAATCCTGAGTAATATGCGATAAATCGAATCGAAAAAAATTAATGTTCCGCTTTATTTTACTTCCGCAAGGCATCGCCACTTGTTGAAGAAATCAGCCGGGTAATTCGGACGGAACGACTCTTGATACAATTTTAGTGCGATCGATGGTTACTGGTCGGTGTTTTATGGTGCGTGCAAAAATAGCAGAGCGCGCGGGAACTTCGGCTTTCGTACAGCTTTCTTCTTTCTTATGTCAAAACGCTACATTTTCTAAATCCCACGTCGGGCAAACAATGAAAACAAGCTTTGCGGCTCTTGTTCTGCGAAGCAAAGCAAACGCGCCTCGGAATTCATGAAGCACGAAAAAAAATTTCACTGCGAAGCAGATCCTCGTTTTATTTGCTTTTTCTTGGAGAATATGAGAAAGTGATACCAAAGATTTTGTGTGCAAATAAATCAACCGAAGTAACGGTGATAAATATTTTAGATTTGTAAGACAGCTTTGATAGTAAAAAAATTAAGTTAATCGCAATTGGAGTTACTAAAAATTAAAATCATTTATTTAGGAAACAAATCTGTGTACGGTAATGTTGGAAAATATTTTTAAACAACAGTGGGCTTTTTTTAACGTAACGTTGAGATCTTTAGGCGCAACTTTTGTTATAATTAATACTATTATAATTATTACGAATTATAAGAATTATTTTAGAAGCATTTCATTTTCTGAATTCATATAATAATTACTTTTACTGACAAATAATAAAGTTTAATAAATTCATATTTTTCAACTAAATTAATGACTTGTAAAATTAATACAGTTTCGTTAAAAATCGCATAAGTAAAAAATTATATTAAAATTTTAGTTGTATTAAAATTAATTTAATTTAAATTATATTAATTTTAAAAAGCATTATAATAAAGTGTCAAACTTTGTACAGATTAAATTACTTTAAATGATAGAACAGAATAAAACGGTGTGAAATAAAAGATTTTAAATTAAAAAAATTAAAAAAACTAAATTAAAAAGTTAATACGTTCAAAAAAACTAATTAAAGTTAATTCTTTTAAATTTAATTAGTTTAAAAGTTAAGAAGTTTATCATTCAACTTCTAACTAATAAAAACTAGTCACTATCCAACTTTGGTATAAAGAATAAAGATAACTGAAACAATTAATTAATTTATCATGTTTTACTCTCCAAGTAAGTTAAATACTCAGCAATTAATTCATAACGCTATTTAAATATAAATAATGACATTCGAATTAAGAAGAATAATAAAAAACACTCTTTCGAGAGGGGTGGATCAAAACGAAAGACAGACGAAATCTGTTCCCCGTGGTGAACGTTTTATTCAATCATTATTAATAATAATCGTCATCATCGTAGTAATAATAATCACCATAATCATCATAATGATAAGAACAATAATGATAATGGCAGCGCGCGCTCGCACCATGCCATGCCGTGTGTCGTGAGCTCCATGTGTCACAATCGCCTCCTTATGTGGCTCTATGTGGTGGCTCACGTACGTGTACGTGTACGTGTACGTGTACGTGTACGTGTACATGTGAATCGATTCACCTTACGTCCTCTCTTCTTTGCAACAACACCTCCCTCGAGGCGAACCGACGAGTTATCCAATTAACGCAATTTTAGCGCGTTGATCTCGATTTTGATCCGTGCGTTTGACTCCTTGTGACTGTCCTTTCGTTTGTGTGCTTGTGTGTGAGTGTGAGTGTATATGTGTGTGTGTGTGTGTGTGTGTGTGTGTGTGTGTGTGTGTCAGAGATATACAAGTTTCGATTGCAAAAGAGATGATCTATGAGACGCGCATGAACGAGCTCTTGCGTATATGTACAATAATAAATTACAATTATAATTACACTGTTTTTGAGTGTGTCGGAGTTTTTAACGGAGGGATTACGCGCTATTATCACGTCACGTCGATGCATCGCATTGTAGATAGCATTTATTATTAACGAAGCCATTGTCTGTTTCTCGACGCACACATCTGTTTTCATTGTTGCGTTTCACCATGGATGGATTCTCGAGCCTGATGGTTCTACAAACCTTTTCATTGGCCATTGTATTAAATTATCTGATTATTTATTTACCTGCGACGGATTAGTATTTTATGTGTCGTACACACGGCAAGAAAGAACAGTTTTTGCTAGCAAATCTAAAAGTTTCACCAGATCTAAAAAGTAATTTTGTTGGGTCTTCAAAATTATTAAATACGACAAATTGCTTGCTTGCTGGAGCCAAAAAAATTTTGCAGTATTATTACAATGCTTAAATGTTCTACATAATAATTTTGATAGTTAAACAAGATTATTTTTTAGATATTCTATATCTAACCGCGCAAATTTTTACATTTGTCAACAAAATTGTTCTCCCCGTGTGCGATAAACTTTTTGAATTCGTATTAATTAATTACAAGAGAGAAAATTGTTAGAAAACTTGAAAACTTTTCTTATTCCATAGCCAGGCAGCACGTTTAAGAAGCTTAAAGTTGTATAACAAGTGAAATTAGTGAGATATTTAAAACAGCTGCAGCTTTAGAAAGAAGAAAACAGAAAATAATACGACAGCGTCTTCGGAGAATTAAAATTTTCATCGCACGATTAATTTAACCAATGTTCCTTTCTTTTATATTTATGTTAATTGCAAAAAAGACTGAATACGTTGATAATAAAATACGATAAAAAGAAATAAACTCGTGTGACGTGATTATAACGCGTATCCCTATTTTTAATTCCTTTTTTTCGCATACTTACTCTCCCCCTCTCTCTCTCTCTCTCTCTCTTTCTATTTCAATTGATAAGTAAATAGGAGCTAGGAGCTTACGCGAGACTTTGCTTGGTTAGTTGTTGCTCTGTTGTTGCTTAA